TAACATTTCCTATTATTTATTTAGAATTTTATTTGAGCAGCTCATGTGGGGAGGGAATGCAAGGCACAAACAGCTATTTGAGATATTTCATTAAGCTGACGATTACATTGTAGTTGTATTAAGTAGTTTGACATACTGTATAAACACACCGTCCTTGAGAAGTCAATTCTGACCATAAACTGAACACAACAGACGCAATGAATATCAAATTTGCACACACACATGACTTGTATTTCACACTTCTGCCATTAATGAAATATCAGACCTTCAATGATATATACTGTAAAGTAAGCTTCAGAGAAATCAGGCTAAAATCTCTACTTCTATTTGGTATATAGTTTTGTGTGTGTAGTAAAGCATTCAGTACATAAAGTACACACTTTTGTGAAGGCATAAATGGTGGACATATTTAATATGAGTGGTTTGAATGTTTATGTATAACAAATTAATAACTTTTCTTTCAATGTAACCTTAAGTATGTGAGGGATTATTTAATTAATCAATAATTCTAGACTTTCTTCATGAATGAACAATTCATACATTCAACAAATATTGGAAATTTGTTAAAAACACCCAAAAGCAGTGAACTGGCTTTACTGCAAAACAACAACACCACCAACAAAAAACAGTTTGGAACAACCCAGGCTTTTTCTGAAAACGTACGGCTATATAAATTTCTGGAGATCGTGAAATACGTCCCAAGAGCTACGTTTATTAGCAGTTTTTTGTGAATCCACCAGAGGGCGCTGTGTACTTTTTGAGATCCCAAATTTCTTTTGGTAATGCCATTCGCACCTGCTGATCTCACGTAAACCCACCAGAGGCCGATGTCGACTGACTGAACAATCGACTGACCCACCCTTATCCATGTCTAAACCCAACCAATAGTGTTTTCAAAAGCACCAATTGACCGGCGTACACCCAGTTTCCTAAACCCAACCGATATCAAAAGCAATCAAAAAAAAAAAAAGAAAAGAAAAGCCCTCGTCTGATTTTTACCATGTTTTCAGGTTTTACCACATTCTCACCCAGTTATTTACTTGTTTATTTCATTTTTTTGGCTTCTGTTTTTGTCTTATCAACTTTCTAGAAACCATACACGCATCGTGATTAACTCCTCTCTGCATCTCAAGTCGGCCAACGTACACAGCGAGCTAATGGACAAGTTGGTAACAGTGACAAAGTCGTCCATACAAGGGTAAGCAGTCAGCTGGTAAGCGAGAAAAGGAACGATGTCATAACGCCCCGTAGCGTTCTTTTTACAGTAAAGACGAAATGTAGCCAAACGTACTTCTGGCTACATAATTTGCAAGCTCCAGAAACAGATATAGGGCAACGTTTTCAGAATGAGCTGGTTTGGAAGTAGCATGAAGAGCGTAACCACCTTCTGTCAATAATCAGTTCAGCTCTGCTTTTTGGTGATAGGATGCTGCCGTTTTGGCCTCAGAAAGGTGTTGCTTTGAAATACTCTTCAAGTGGAACGACAGACACACCACCGAACCAGTCCTGAAGCCAAACTTGCTGCAAAACCATCTTCATGAAGAACCACTGATGTCCAGGAGGCCACTTCTTCATGACCGGATGCCTAAACACAGCAAAAACACTCAAATGAATTCAAACAAAACTTTGCAAACACACTGCTCACCCTAATAAAAAAAGATTTTGATATGCTTAATACCAATGGCATCAGCAGTACCTATAGACCAGTGGTTCTCAAACTGTGGTACGTGTACCACTACTGGTACGCAGGCTTCCTTCTAGTGGTACGCGGAGGAGTGAAATATGTCATGTACATGTTACACACATGTAAAAATGTATCAAAAATGATGTATATAATATGTCATATATGACATATAGCCTATATTTCTGAGGTAATCAGCCACGTTTTTTTTTTAAATGTGCAGAGGTGTAGCTGTTTTACTGGGCCTACTACGCTATTGTATTTCAATACTGCTTATGTTGGTGGTACTTGGAGAGACAATTTTTTCCTGAGGTGGTACTTGATGAAAAAGGTTTGAGAACCACTGCTATAGACCATTTCAATGCACTCATGTCTTTGGCCCATAAACATTTCCTGCTTGTTATAAAACAATATTTCAAACACTGTAAGAAGAGGCAATCAACCCTAAGTCAATGTTAAAACAGCTAACATAACATTATTTATCAGTATGTGGCTCTTTTTGGATTCTCAGAAGCTATAGAAATTAATAATAATGTAAAACAGGAAATACGTTGGGACCACTGGATTTGTTTACATCCCTCAAAATGGTAACTTGGGTAAAAAATAAGTGTGCAATTGCAGGTAAAAAAACTTAAGAGTGACAACTTATTAGCTTATAAAATATTTGATAAATATATTTATAGTTATGTTGACTAGAGCAAGCCTTCCTGAAATATTTCAAGAAAGTTTTAGCACTTTTTAGTTGCAATTACTATTTTACTAGCTTGTTATTAACACATAACATGTCTAGTATGTTGCTAGCATGTTTTAACATCTTGTTAGTGTTGGGGAATTCATTGTGTCTTGATGAATTTCTGATAAATGTATTATGAATGTATTCGAACTCAGGTCGGCGGCGTCGTAGCACAACGTGCTGACCACTGGACCACAATGGCACTATTTTGTCCATTTTTATAACCATTTTTGTTATCTGCAGTATTACTTTACTTACAATTGATGACTTAATCTTTTTCTACCCTTTTTAGATTTCTGATCAAGTTATGTCAGATTTATTAATGTAGTGAATCATCTGATTTTCATTGAGCAGTTATAATATTCGTTAAAATTAATAAGTCGATCTCTTATATTCACTAAGGTGCCGCTGTTTGCGGTCGAATGATAGCTACATTATCATTAACCTGCAGGCTGCCTTTTGCTCACGGGGCTGCGAGAAAACAAATAAAAAGAGCATGGCTGCGGCAAAAAAATGAATAAAAAGAGTGAGGCTATAGTCAAATAAATAAGTAAATGAAAAAAAGTGCGACTGCTGGGAGTGCAAGCTGCTAGGGACACCGGCTCTAGCGGCCAAAAACGGACCGGCCCACTGGGAATTCTCCTGGTCCTCCCAATTAACCAGTCTGGGCCTGCTGTACTATACATACACTTGACCAACACAGTCAGACATAGAAGAACACTTCCCAGCTTAGCTTTAAAGGGCCACGAAACCCCCCTGTTTCAGCAGGGTGTTTTCACACCTCTAGTTTTGAAAAAGTCAGGAAAGTGGGTGTGTCCAGCTCTGTTTAGGGGGGAGTTTCGGAGGAGGGAAACAGGGAAGGTACATGAAAATTTGAATAAAAATGGGAGTGTCAGTTTGGGCACACGCTGATTTTTACAGTCAAAACAAACACAAAGACGCAGAGGAGAAAGACAGTGACTGTGTTTACATGGACATCAGTAATCGAATTATTTGACAAATTATTAAATGGTGGACTTTAACTGCAGTTTGGCTCTTTCATTCAGGAATTTCATTTATGCCCCTTGTGACAAACGAGATATTTGATTCGAGGAACTGCTGAAAGCGTGTATTTTTAATGCAATGTTTGATACCGCACGGCGAATGAGAGAAAAAAAATCCTCTGCATTTCTCTGAAACTTAGATGCACTCGGCGGGTAGCACCAGAAAGCCGTGTGTGTTATACCGGTCACAAAATGCGGCAAAAATCCTAAATGACAGTGATAGTTTGATTGCGGCGTTTACATGTTTACACAGATTTTTCAGTCTATAATATTGTAATGATAATAACGCCCTGTAAACTTTATTAACTTAGAAATCCTTTGACTAAGGTCCGTTTTTAAACAATGAGAGTACTGCTGACGATATGAACTAACTTTGCCTCTGAACAAACAAAGACCACTGATCGCTTATTTCTGTAGACTCACTTCCAAATCTGTAGAGACAGGACAATCAACACCAATGGAGCCACGTCTTTATTAAAAAGAGACGAGCAGCAAATTTAGATTTCACCATTTTCAGATGAGAAAAGCTCTCGGGTAAAAAATTATCCTTAGAAACTTTTTTTGTCGCATGCACTGTAATCTACACGCGAGTCCAGCTGCGCTCTCATAGCGGAAAAATTAAAACAAAACCTTCCTTGCAGCAAATTATAAAAGCAACACTGACGACCTGTATCTCCGAACAATTCTTCTTCTACCACTTGTTTTGGCAACACAATGCGGCGCCTCTCTGCCATCTGAACACTGTACAGGTACAAACAGTCTTGGAAGCTATCATGCATATTAAATAAGTTGCAATAGAGCGCGCTGATTGGTTTAAACAAAGCCTTTCTCATGAATGAATGCAGCACACTCAGAGACGTCACGAAGTACTCCCAGGAATAGACAGCTGGTCTACAAGCTGGAATACACGCAAGTACCTAATCGGCGTGATGAAGCTTTAAAAGTTAGTTTCAAACCGGAAGAACAAATTTGCTCGAAATAACGCAAAAAAAACAACCAATTTTCACTTTTCAGTGTCCTAATAGTGTTTATAGCATTCTAGGACACAAGTATGACAGTAAACAGCTCAAAAAATGTGTTTTGGTGTTTTGTGACCCTTTAAAATGTTTTCATTGCATTCACAGCTTTGTGTTTGTATTATATCGTTACCTGGAGAACATGGCTTCTTTAGCAAAATCAAGCTCCTCTGGTTCCACCTCCACCATCTTACCAGTCAAAGTGAGTCTAGCGCACCTGGGGTCTTCAGGGTCATAAACCTGCTTCCTTTTGAGGAAAATGCACAGGAAAACACATTACTGTCCAACACAATTATGTATTCAATGTAATAATATTAATACAATTTATTTGAGGTGCCTTTTAAACCACTTAAGGACATCGTACATAAAGACTCAATAAATAAAACAATACATAACTATAAATGGTCAAAACAAAACTGAAGTTACAAAATAACAGCAATAAAACGACACAAACAGTAATCAAGGTAATCTAAACTAAATGTAACGGATAATCTAAATAAGTTTTCAATTGAGCTTTAACCTGGCATAATGAATCTGATTCACCTAAAATCTTCTCACTCAACCATATGTAAGTAGTAGTGGTGTCACATCGAAATCGATCGAAATTTATGCTCAATTTCGATTATCGAATTAAAAAATAGAATCGTCGATGCTGCCACGCCCCCATGTCACGTCAGCTTGGCTAGCCAAGCGGGAAAAAACAGGCTTGTTGAAGTGCTTGTTAAACTGCAGACGTAGGAGACCCGTCAACAGAGCTTAAATCCTCTCCTCTTTCAATGAAGTCGCCGGTGTGTAAGCATTTTGGATTTCCAGTGAGTTATGTTGACAACGTTCATGTTGTCGACAAAAAAAAACACAGTTTTGCAAGCTCTGCTATGTACGTATTACGTACGGTTCGTCCGATAGACAACACCGGCATCGCGATTCTCCGCCTGCCCCCGTTGCAAATCAGCTCACGAAAAGTACACACTCAGGCCCTGTTTACACTGTCTTTGTCTTTAAATGGCATTTTAAAACGACAACGATTTGACATCCACAGCGGCGTGTAGCATTTCTAACCAGCCCTCCTTCCTCTCTACCTCTGACACACACACACACAGACACAGACGCGCACACACACAGCCATGGGCTCGAGACAGCGGGTTCAGGTAGTCAGAGGATCACTTAGTCATTTTAGCGAACACCTCAGATACTGTTGGCTGGTTCCTGTTGGTTGTGCGTCTTTTTTACCGACGCCATTATAACGACACAGATCACTGCCTATTCACGAGTCCCGCAGAAAAAGTGATTGACAGGTGGTAATTATGTGTGTATCTTGCCTTTATTCATTTACTGTATGATTTGTTTATGGGCAAAACAAAGACCATGAAGGTCAGGTAGTTTAAACGGTAGGCTACAAATAATTAATTGGTCATTAATTAATTAATTATTCATAATCGAAAATCGAATCGAAACGTGCCTTTAGAATCGAAAATGTAATCGAATCGAGGATTTGGAGGATCGTGACACCCTTAGTAAGTAGGGATGTTCCGATACAGCATTTTAACCTCTGATACAATACCGATATTGCAGCCTCCAGTACGAATCAGTACCGATATAAATCCGATATCAGCACAAATCATGAATACTTTTACCTATTTTGTTGAGTGGAATGTATGAACGGCTAGATCAAACTGAGAACAAAAGTCAGCAACAGTAATTATGGAGAAAAAACAACCAAGTTATTAAATATTGGTTGCATAAATGTGAACCTAAAAGAATATATAAAAAAGAATTAAAGAATAAATATTAAGATCCTGAAAAATATCTAAATTGAATAAACAAAATGATATATTTTTTAAAGTGCAAAATACTAATTAAAGGAACTCATTAAACATTAATAATAAAGAAACGTAAGAAAAAAAAATTGTTAACTGAACAACTGCTAAAGATTGAGTGTCCAAAGTTTCAATTTCACACACAGCTTCTTGATGAATGTTTGATCCAGTAGGTGAACACACCTGCAGAAATCTCCCTCTGCTTCAGAGAAGGTTAGGGAAGCAAAAGGGAAGCTGCGGAGGTCAGTTACAGTGTTGTCCATTGGCGTGACATAGAAATAAGGAACACCAGTGCTGTTGTCTGCTGGACCGTCACTGACTGAGAAGATGTTGCCAAATGGAAGTCCTCTAATCTAAAAAGACATAAGGGATAATCAGCATCCTAAAATAAGCACTGTTTTTAAACTTTATCATTAGCCCTAAATAGTGCAAAACGCTTAAAGGGATAGTTCACCAAAAAAATGAAAGTTCTCTGATAGTTTACTCACCCTCCACTTGTTCCAAACCATTTATTCATTCATTTTCTTTTCAGCTTAGTCCCTTTATTAATCTAAGGGTCGCCCACAGCGGAATGAACTGCCAACTTATCCAGCATGTGTTTAACAATGCGGATGCCCTGCCAGCTGCAACCCATCCCTGGTAAACATCCATACACACCCATTCACACTCGGACAATTTAGCCTACCCAATTCACCTGTACCGCATCTCTTTGGACTGTGGAGGAAACCGGAGCACCCGGAGGAAACCCACGTGAATGCAGGGAGAACATGCAAACTCCACACAGAAATGCCAACTGACCTAGCCGAGGCTCAAACCAGCGACCTTCTTGCTGTGAGGCAACAGCACTATCTACTGCGCCACTGCGTCACCTGTTTCAAACCAGTTTAAATGTATTTGTTCTGCTGAACAAGAAAGAAGATATTCGTAAGATTGTTGTAAACCGGTAACCACTGACATCTAAAGCAGGAAAAAAATAATAATACGAGAGTCAGCGGTTACTGATTTCCAACATTCTTCAATATATTCTACTATAACATGACCTGCATGTGTTGCAGCAGGAAAAGGAACAAGCTGAGGTCTAAAAGGGTCTGCGGGGTCGGTAAGGTCTTCAGTGTTGACAATAAATGCTTATTCAAGCAGTTTAGACAGGAATTTATTACGTATTTATTTATTTATATTTTGTATTTGTGGTTTACATTTTAAACTTTTTGGGAAAATGAGACCAAAGCACTGTCACATCACTGACCTTGATTTTCAATACAAATTCATATTTTTATATATATATATATATATATATATATATATAAAAAAAAAAATAAAAAAAAAAAATTTATATATATATATATATATATATATATATATATATATATATATATATATATATATATATATATATATCAGAGGTTACAGGTGTTAAAATCATGTAATAACAGGCCATGGAACAGCTTAGAAGCCAATTGTCCAATTACTTTTACCCTTAACAAGTGGGAGGCACATACGCAAACCTGATTTGGATGTACAGTTGAAGTCAGAATTATTAGCCCCCCTGAATTAATTTCACCCCTGTTTATTTTTTTCCCCTAATTTTGTTGAAGATTTTGGGAAGATTGTTTTAGCACATTTCTAATCATAATAGTTTTAAAAACGTATTTCTAATAACTGATTTATTTTATCATTGTCATGATGACAGTAAATAATATTTTACTTGATATTTTTCAGGACACATTTATTTATTTTTTTATTAAATTATTTTTATTATTTTTAATTAAAAACTGCTTTTATTCTAGCCGAAATAAAAATATAAGACTTTCTCCAGAAGAAAAAATATTATCAGAGATACTGTGAACATTTCCTTGCTCTGTTAAAAACCATTTGGGAAATCAAATTTGGGAAAACGAAAGGGGGCTAATAATTCTGACTTCAACTGTTAATACCCTCAAATTAAATTAGTTTAATTTCAAATCCATCGTGTTGATGTAGAGAGCCAGAAATGTTAGATTTGTGTCGACGTCCTAATATTTATAAAAAATAATTATGTTAAAACATTGGTTTATATTTTCCAGAACAACACACCACAGAGTTAAGGGACCAGAAAAATAGCAATCTATAAACATGTGTTGTAGTTTAAATGAGGAAGATAAACATGCGTTATGGATGTGACAAAAAAAGTATCCGAGTTTGCAGTCTACACATGCTTTGTGAAAATTCTGTGAATTATACTGCACAACACAAAAACAATATTGTTAATCAAAAGGATAAAATAGGTCTCGCTATATAGAACGAAAATTATTGATTTAATTTTATTTAATATTTCTGCATTTATGAGGAAAAAGTGTTGTTATGGATGTGACGTCTCTCCATTATGGATGTGACAGATGTGAAATATCCACATGTGTGACTTTGGTAAATGAAATATAATTGTTTGAAAACATAGAGACATTTTTGAGTATTTCTAAAGTACTGTAAAATACAAGAAAACACAAAAAACATATAAAAGATTTCCATATTTTGGTGAAATCTTTTTGCATTTGCATGGAATTGCTCATATATATAAACCTCTAAATGCCGTCTGAAATTTTCTTCTAAAATGATCATTTTTATCAGACTACTGTGTGTAGGTTCAGTTATTTCACTTTTATGGCAAAGGATAAGTCATATTCATGGTCTTTAAAGTGAAATAACTCAACATAAACAAAGGAGGCTGAGAAAAATTTTAATTTTCGATGGAAATTTCAGATGGCATTTAGAAGTTTTTGCATCTGAACAATTCATATATATATATATATATATATATATATATATATATATATATACATACATACATACAGTTGAACTCATAATTATTAGCTCCCCTGAATTATTCGCCCCGTTTATTTTTTCCCCCCCAATTTCAAAGAGATGTTTTCAACACATTTCTAAACATAATAGTTTTAATAACTCATCTCTAATAACTGATTTATTTTATCTTTGCCATGATGACAGTAAATAATATTATACTAGATGTTTTTTAAGACACTTTTATACAGCTTAAAGGGACATTTAAAGGCTTAACTAGGTTAATTATGCTACTAGGCAGGTTAGGGTAATTAGGCAAGTTATTGTATAATGATGGTTTCATGATGGTTTGTTCTGTAGACTATTGAAAAAAGTTAGCTTAAAGTGGCTAATAATTTTGTCCTTAAAATAGTGTTTAAAAAATTAAATACTGCTTTTATTCTAGCCAAAATAAAGCAAATAAGACTTTCTCCAGAAGAAAAAATATTATTAGACATACTGTGAAAATTTCCTTGCTCTGTTAAACATCATTTTGGAAGTATTTAAAAAATAAAAATAATAATTCAAAGTGAGCTATTAATTCTGACTTGTATATAATCTTTAGCATTTACTTATGCATTATTAAAATCTAAATTCATGCTTGTTAACATTAGTTAATGCACAGTGAGTTATTAACTAGCATGAACACACACTGTAATAAGTGTATGGTTCATGGTTTTTTAATGTTAGTACATTTACAAACATTATCTAATACAAACTTACTGTAAAGTGTTATCTAATATATGTAGTTTTTTAATAGAAACTATATAGTTGTTTTGGGGGGGTTTCTGGTTATATTTTTAGGGCTCTCATTGGTTGCATGTTAAACATATCAATGGAAATGAGTCCCAAAACACACTGGACCAATAAATGTACTTGTTGGTTAAAATTTGATGGCTTACAAAGTTTTATGGTGTTTGTAGGGAAAATTGTTTGAACTTCTGATGGCCTATCTTGTCTTTTCAGCAGGGTGAGTGGAATAAATGCTATTATATTAGTAATATTGCATGTGCAGCACATGATGTTGGTGGCAGCATCTGTAGAGCTGCCAATGACTTCAAAAGTAAGTAATGTTATGCAAGTCTGAAGCGATGGTTTATTTATTTTTAATGTTTGTTGACAGCTGGTAGAGCTGCACAAAAACGTATCTCTAAACTGGCTCTCCGGTAGAACGACAAGGCGGTAAACAGCGCATCATCACCTGCTCAAGAGTGGAGAGGGTCGACAGGAACCCCCAGTCCCCCTGATGCGCCATGTATCGCGCGACTCTCGCTGTCTCCTCGTGCGGTGGCGTCTGGATGCTGGACGGCACCTTCACCTCCTCCATCCGATATGAGAACACACGGGACGCGGACGACACATCCTCGCCTTTCGATATCTGCTCGGGCTTCTTCTCAGCCCCGTCCCGGTACACCGAGGACGGGTAGGACTGTTTCCAGATGCCGATGTTGTCGACGAGCACAGCGGGCGCCTCGTCCGAGTGAGTGTCCAGCTCCTCATCCGCCGCGTCCCCGGTAACAGCCCATGACACCGAGCTCCTGATGGTGTAGCTCTCGCAGACACAAAAAAGTGCCGTTAACGCAGTTACGAGGAGCATAGTGCTGTTGACATTCATGAGCACCGAGCCCGTTCAGACTGCATGTTTATTTCGCAACTATAGATCCAGTATGGCGTTACATGATCCTGAACGGAAACTTTGTTGGCTCTGAAACAGCGGCGCTGCCTGGACCGCCTGGGATCTGCAGTTATTTCATAAACAGGGTCTTGTAATATTCCAGAATCCAGATAAGAAATTGTGATGTTATTGATAGTACAACAAAGTATTTTCAGAAATAAAATCAAGGAAAAGAACGAACAGCAAAAACAACAAAATCCTGCTTTTTGTTAGTTATCTTAATGTATAATAATGTTAATTTGGCATAAAAACATCAAAGCAGAATTAAATATGAACTAAAGGTGGTATTTTGGTATGAAATAAGTTTTTAAAAGTCAATATTGATAACCAAACATAATAACTGAATTCAAAGTGTTTTATTAATATATTTTGGTATTAATTGTAGTATGTGCCCAGCAGGCACAGGTTGACATTGTACTGTACCCCAACGCCATGGGACGTTGCATAGACTCATCGTCAGGCCTGTCAATGTCCAACGTTGGTGCATTTTTTGGTTACATTTCAATGCAACCTAATAACAACAAAAATCCTAATTGATGTACAGCTTGACATTGTGGTCTATCAGACATTGGATTTTGGTTGCCATACCTGACAAAAAAATGCCAGTATTTGACGTCAATATGACGTTGAATTAAGATGTTGGCTAGACGTTGGATTTTGGTCACTTTCCAGCAGAACCTAAAATCAACCAAATATCAATGTCATTTCACATCGTAATTGGATGTCAAAATAACGTCGTCCTTAGATGCTTGTGACCTAAATCTAACCTTATATTAACGTCTTATGAAGTTGTGTGTCTGCTGGGTCAGTATAAAACATTGCCATGTATCCATAGTATGTGTTCTGGAGCATTTAGGTGATAATCTCACATAAAAATACATAGAAATTGTTGTAAATTAACAGTTAAAAAACAAAATAAATTTGACATTTATTTGATTAAAAAAAATACAATACAAACAGTTAAATATTTATATTTACAATGATTTAACTGCATTTCTTTGATGCAAAACTGAATTTTACTCCAAGGTCAAATGGTCCTACAGAAATCAGTCTAATGTGCTGATTTACTATTTAACAACATTTCTTATTAGCAATGTTTAAACTGTTCAACCCAGGCTCAATACGGACACATACCCCGATTTCTGGGGACAGCGAAATACATAACTGGAGGTACATCTGCTCACGTTTTTTTTTTTTTTTTTGTTATCAATATGACGTCTACCAGACATTGGATTTTGCTTGCCATACCTGACCAAAAAAAAAAAAATGCCAGTACTTTTTATGCCATAAGATGTTGGCTAGACGTTGGATTTTGGTCACTTTTCGGCACAACCTAAAATCAACCAAATATAAATGTTATTTCACATCGTTATTGTCAAAATAACGTTGTCCTTAAATGCTTGTGACCTAAATCTAACCTTATATTAACGTCTTATGAAGTTGTGTGTCTGCTGGGTCAGTATAAAACATTGCCATGTATCCATAGTCTGTGTTCTGGAGCATTTAGGTGATAATCTCACATAAAAATACACATAAATTGTTGTAAATTAATAGTTTAAAAAAGCAATTTTACAATTTTATTTTAATTCATTGATATTGCTAGTGATTGTGTTCAGTTAATACAAAAAAGGGTGAATGAATGTATAATAATAATAATAATAATAATAATAATAATAATAATATTCATTGCACTGAATAAATGCAAATAAAATAACATGGATCCATGTGCTGATTATTTGCTATAACAGCTGTGATCTTTAAAATAACCCAATAAAGTAAATATATTGTGACGTGAATTCATATTATTAATCGTACAGTGCAAATAAAAAAAAAATTATAATACTTAAAATAAAAACGTAATTTTAAAAATTACACGAACATGCATGCTGGTCTGAAATTCAGCATTTTAAATGAGGTAAATTGGCATTATATTTATAAAAAAGCATCTTTTTTTTTAAATAATACATTTTTTTTGTTGTTGTTGTTATTGATATATTCTTGTGATTACCCACAAATCACATATTCAGTCTCATATTTAGTGAGAATAATTTATTTAGGATGGGTATTTTCAAAAGCAAGCCGACCATAATCTGATATTTCAAAGTACATGATATACTTTACAGTCACATTATTTAACATTTAACTTAAAATAACAGAAATCTTCAAACCTAATAGGTGTCAGAAAATCAACAGGTTATACAATGTACCAATACATATAAACCTACGAATGGAATCACGGAAATAAATAAAACACATGATTAGAAAGGGAATAATCATATTAATCAAATGAACAACAAGAAAAAAATACAAGAAAAGGTAAACCTGAGAAACACTGAGCAATACAGTATATTACACGGGAACAAATATATAGTTTTGGGTAAAACATTTACAGAAGCATCAGTTTCTAATCCTGAGATCTCAGGACACTTTTGCTCGAGTCTGAACCTGAATTTGTTTCACCTTCATCTCTAAGAGATATACACTGTTGTGTTGTGCTGTATTGTGGCACTTTTACAAAACACATTACCAGCAAGATATTTACTTACAGATTTGTTTTGTGTTGATGCCTACACATGGCAATAATTCAGTAAGACTTGTAATGTTTTTGAAAAAGTCTCTCATCTCATATGCTTCTGACTGCATTTATGTGATCAAAATACAATACAAACAGTTAAATATCTATATTTACAATTTAAATAATTGTATTTAACTGCATATCTTTGATACAAAACTAAGAAATTTACTCCAAGGTCTGATTGCTGATTTGCTGTTCAAAAACATTTCTTATTAGCAATGATAAAACTGTTCAACCTAGGCTCATTACGGATACATACCCCGATTTCTGGGGACAGCGAAATACGTAACTGGAGGTACGTTTGCTCACAGTTTTTGATTTTGCTGTGTAGGCTTTTTGATGATCTCAAGTGTGTCTTGCACATACTCTTCTCGCATAAATCTACCAGAGGGCGCAATATAGACTTCAGCCGACCAGGCTAGCTCACTGTCGAATTACTGACTGACCCACCTACCCCCTTTCCTAAACCCAACCAATAGTGTTTTTAAAAGCATTCTAGAAAAAAAAAGCAGTTGAGTGATTTCACCATGCTTTCAGCCTGTTTTTTTATTTTTATTAATTTACCTGCTTTCTGGAACCGCTCCACTCAAACCCTTTAGTTGCGGTCAACTCAGCTCCACGTCTCAAGTCCATCTGCATACGTGGTGAGCAACTGAGCAAACTGGTAACACTGGAAAAGCCGCCTGTGCGGAGGTAAAAGGTCAGCTGGAAACGCTAAAAGGAACAGAAGACGTCGGCGGCATCATACCGCCCATAGCGTTCATTTGAAAACAAAATGCTGGTTACATAATTCCTCTCCAAAAATGTAGACAGGTATGTATCCACAATGAGCCTGTGTTGCAAATGTTTGTGTTATTAAACAGTACAAAAATTAAAAAAAATGGAGAGTGAGTAAATGATGACAATTTTCATTTCTGGGTGAACTATCCCTGTAAATTGTAAAAAAAAAACATTAAACAAATTCATACTTTCAGAGCAAAAGAAACTTCTTTGGAAAATTTAAAAAATATATGCTTAATTATTGAATTCATAGTTCACATGGGGAGAATGCAAGCAACATAAATAGGTAAACCTAAAGGAAGGGGTAGTTCACCCAACAATAAAAATTTCACTGGAGTGCTTCTGAACACATCTGAACTGTTGAACACAAAACAAGATAATCTTGTTCGATGATGTTGGAGAAAAAAACAGCCTTTGACATCCATCAGAAGAACAGAACATATTCTAGTCAATGACTGGCATTTTCCAACATTCTTAGGTATATCTTTGTGTTTAATAGAAGAAAGATACAAGAGTACAGGGATGAGTAAATTATGTCAGAATTGACATTTTTGGGTGAGCTGTCCCTTTATACGGAAACCCTGAAGGAACGTGATGGTGGGGAAAAAAATTGGAGGAGGAAGAAAAAAAAAATGATAGGAAAACATATTTCTAAGGTTTTTGCGTTCCCTCGCAAAGATTTTGCATTATCTCGCAAAGATGTTTTGCGTTCCCTCGCAAAGATGTTTTGCACTCCCTTGCAAAGATGTTTTGTGTTATCTTGGAAAGATGTTTTGCGTTATCTTGCAAAGATGTTTTATTTTCCCTTGCAAAGATGTTTGCGTTATCTCGGAAAGATGTTTTTCATTATCTCGCAATAATGTTTTGCGTTATCTCGCAAAGATGTTTTGCGGTTCCTTGCAAAGATGTTTTGCGTTATCTTGCAAAGATGTTTTACGTTCCCTTGCAAAGATGTTTGCGTTATCTCGGAAAGATGTTTTGCATTCTCTCGCAATAATGTTTTGCGTTATCTCGCAATAATGTTTTGCGTTATCTCGCAATAATGTTTTGCATTATCTCACAATAATGTTTTGAGTTATCTCGCAATAATGTTTTGCATTATCTCACAATAATGTTTTGAGTTATCTCGCAATAATGTTTTGCGTTATCTCGCAATAATGTTTTGTGTTATCTCGCAATAATGTTTTGCATTATCTTGCAATAATGTTTTGCATTTTCTCGCAATAATGTTTTGAGTTATCTCGCAATAATGTTTTGAGTTATCTCGCAATAATGTTTTGCGTTATCTCGCAATAATGTTTTGCGTTATCTCGCAAAAATGTTTTGTGTTATCTCGCAATAATGTTTTGCATTATCTTTCAATATTGTTTTGCGTTATCTCGCAATAATGTTTTGCATTATCTATCAATAATGTTTTGCGTTATCTTGCAATAATGTTTTGCATTATCTATCAACAATGTTTTGCGTTATCTCGCAATAATGTTTTGCATTATCTATCAATAATGTTTTGCATTATCTCGCAATAATGTTTTGCATTATCTATCAATAATGTTTTGCGTTATCTCGCAATAATGTTTTGCATTATCTATCAATAATATTTTGCGTTATCTCGCAAAGATGTTTTGCGTTATCTCGGAAAGATGTTTTGCGTTCCCTTGCAAAGATGTTTTGCATTATCTCGCAAAGATGTTTTGCGTTCCCTTGCAAAGATGTTTTGCGTTAACTCGCAAAGATGTTTTACGTTCCCTTGCAAAGATGTTTTGCGTCATCTCGGAAAGATGTTTGCGTTATCTCGGAAAGATGTTTTGCATTATCTCGCAATAATGTTTTGCGTTATCTCGCAATAATGTTTTGCGTTATCTCGCAATAATGTTTTGAGTTATCTTGCAATAATGTTTTGCGTTATCTCGCAATAATGTTTTGCATTATCTATCAATAATGTTATGTATTATCTCGCAATAATGTTTTGCATTATCTATCAATAATGTTTTGCATTATCTCGCAATAATGTTTTGCATTATCTATCAATAATGTTTTGCATTATCTCGCAATAATGTTTTGCATTATCTATCAATAATGTTTTGCATTATCTCGCAATAATATTTTGCATTATCTCGCAATCATGTTTTGCGTTATCTCGCAATAATGTTTTGCGTTATCTCGCAAAAATGTTTTGCGTTATCTCGCAATAATGTTTTGCATTATCTATCAATAATGTTTTGCGTTATCTCGCAAAGATGTTTTGCGTTATCTCGGAAAGATGTTTGCGTTATCTTGCAAGGCTGTTTCTCCATTAACACTTCCTGTTCACTTCATTCATGTAAACCCTCCCTTTTTTGCCAAGATTCTCCCATATTTTACCATTCTATCCCACTTTCTTTCCATTGAAGCTGTGCGTCGATGTGCACAGCTTTAATGTTAAGAAAGTGAATGCAGACATTTTAATATTTATTTCAGCGTGCTTTCAAGATTAAAAATATGGTAAAATACTTAATGATGGGATGAAAGTGGGATAGAATGGTATAATATGCGAGAATTTCGGCAAAAACGTGAGGGTTTACATGAATGAAGTGAACAGGAAGTGTTTGTGGAGAAACAGTTTTGCAAGATAACGCAAAACATCTTTTTGAGGGAATGCAAAAAAGCTAAAAATATGTTTTCCTATCACTCTGTTATTTTTCTCAACCCCAGTTTTTTTTTCTTCCACCAATTTTTTTCCCCACCATCAAGTCCTTTCCTGGTCTCTGTACCTTTAAGAGGTTCAGTGACTGAAAAATGTGTGACTGTCCCTCAATAAAACACAAATTCTGGTTCACTTCCAGACTGCACTGCTTTAAAGTCTGAGTGAAATTAGAATTTTCAATGTTTATTTTGCTAGCGCACATTGTCATTCTTTAGGTGAACAATCGATTAGTGCATTCCACTGAAAAAAAAAGTTTGTTGGGATAATCTTTAAATCAAAGAATAACTATTTTTTTCCATGTTTGGAGTGGTGGTCCTTCTGTTGACATCAGTTTGATGCTACACTCTCAATATTTTTAACCACGCCCCTCTTATCGTTAGTTTGATATGAGGGAATGATGCACAAAAAGAAAGCTCCACCCCCTACTCAATATTCAGTTTCAGTTGGAAGTACTTCAACATACTGAAATAAAAGTCTCAGCAACTTCTGGTTTATGCTGACATTAACATCAACTTAACATCCAATGAGCTTCATCTGGAGCAAACCAGTCACTTTAAATCCACATTCAACATAAAAAACCCTTCAAACTTACAAACCTTACACAAAGAATCAGCATTCAACCCCAAATTTAACCTCTGTCACCTTTAGTCCATAGACATATCACTCCATGCCAGCGATTTCCTCTTGGCGAGCTCCATCCAGGACGGTTGCCCACTGTCCCGCGCTGACTGCAGAGGAGATGACGATGGTGAGGATGAAGGTGATTTCTGCTGCCCCTTTTCCTCTCTTTCTGCTGACCTCACAGGAACAGAAGACACAGATGCTTCTGGAAACATCAACAACAAGTATGAGCGTACATTTGAACTGTAACTGGCATTTAAATCTCATACTTTGTTGCTCACTTACGCGATGATGAACTTGAGTCAGGTCCCGTGCCGGACACCTTTGAGATCGACGGTCGGAAAGGACGGTCGGAGACTGCTGACTGAGGTGCACTTCGGGACTCTGATGAGCTTTTCTGATCAATATTCTAGTGGAATCAGTAAAATGGTCTACAATGTTTACCAAATTAAACATTACAAGTAGAATATGTGCAAATATACTAAGACTACGCCTGTTGTAGTCCTATTCATTGTTCATATCGATGTCAACATTGCCAATTTTACATTGTCCTGTTTTATTTGGGAGTATGCTGTTGTATGTCGTTGTATTTGCACTGTATTTTGCACTGTCTGCAGCCAGCACCTAAGCTTTTCACTCATCACAGCACACATGCTGCTGATGATGTGACAATAAAAGTCATTTGATTTGATTTGACACTACAAATGTCCAGAAATCATAGACTTTTAGGTTAATTTATTGATTTTTATTTATATTATTGATAGTAACTCTTTAGTTTAAGTATCATTTCTCATTAATACATTATGGTTTGTCAGCTGTGGTCTGATGGAACTAAGATTGAACTGGCCATAATGACCAGTGTTACATTTGGAGGACAAATGGGAAAGCTTACAAGCCTAGGAACACCATCCCAACTGTGAAGTATGTGGCGGCAGCATCATGTTGTAGGGCTGTTTTGCTGCAGGAGGGACTGGTCCACTTTACAGCATAGATGGCATCATGAAGAAAGAACGTTATGTAGAAATACTGAAGAAACATCTCTAGACATCAGCCAGGAAATTAAACAATGGCTGAAAATGGGTCTTTCAAACATGACTCTAAGCATGCTGCCAAATTAGTTAAAATGTGCTTTAAGAACAACAGAGTGAATGTTTTGAAGTGGCCATCACAAAGCCCTGAGCTCAATCCTATAGAAATATTGTGGGCGGAGTTGAAAAAGCTTGTGCGAGCAAGACTGACTCAGTTACACCAATTCTGTCAAGAGGAATGGGCCAAAATTCCAGCAAACTATTGTGAGAAGCTTGTGGATAATACCCAAAACATCTGACCAAAGTTATACAGTTTAAAAGCAAAGCTAAAAAAATACCAATGAAATATATTTAAACGTTTGACTGTCTAGAAATTAATAAAAAATTCTCTCATTATTCTGGCATTTAGCAAATGTAAATCATGTAGGTAATCCTAACAGACCTAAAATACTAAATGTCAAGCAGGGTTTACCATCAGACAGTTTTTTAAATAGCTATGTTCCTTTTTTTTAGAGTGTATGTAACCTTCTGATTTCAACTGTAGACGCAATCACCTGTTACAAATCTTGTGAACACTTATGATGTCTTACAGTGCTCTAGATCTGTCCGTTTCAGACTGTTGAATGTTTTTTTTTTCTCACATAGACTAATTAGCACGATTATGCATTCATATATACTGGCACGGACCATTACAGGGGTGGTCACATGTTTATTATATAGTCTATTATGTTAATTATTAATATTATCATTCAAGATACAGATCAGGTGTCCTTCAGGGGGATCAAGCGTTAATTAGGGAGGTCAATCCCCCCTAAACCCCCTGTAATTTGCACTCTGTGTGCAGTCACAATAAAATCACATGTAGATAATGTGGAACCTAGAAACACACCTGAAACATGTGAAACATTTGATTTGGTTTTAAAACAGTTTTATGTAAAACTCATGCGACACCATTTAACAAATGGTGGAAAAACATTCCAAAACCATGTGTTTTAACCATAGACTGTAAAATATATAGACGTAGTATCCGTGACGTCACCCATAGGTTTCTAAAGAGCGCAAAAGAAGCCACAAGTAGGCGCGGCCAACCGTCGCCATTTTGTTGGCGCGTCATCACACCCACGGCGGGATACCAAACAAGGGCAAAGAGGCGAAGAGTGAGCGGAGCTACAGACACCTGCTGACATTTAGCTTGGACCTGGTTCAGACACACTTTACTTTATCACATGTGACTTGTTTGTATTCTCACCACTTGTGCTTGGTTGTATACTATATCAATAAAGTGTTTAGACTTTTAAAAACACTGCTGTAATACATTGAGCAACTAAACACTGTTCTTATGACGTTTTTCAACAGAAGGGAAAACGCAAATTACTTCCAAACACTTCAGATATAGTCTGTGTTAGTAAATGTAAGACTATTGATGAAATCCAGCATAACACCGTATGACAACGCTTCAGATGACTGTTCTAGAGCCTACAGCTAATCAATCTGACAGATTCTGGAGTGCATTACAGCTCTAAATATAAATATAAACGATAAATGATCTTAAATAAAACAAATACATGTATAGAGATGGTATATAAGTATGTAACTTTACTCACATGGGAAACGGAGGCTACGTGAATGGTTTGTGAGCACAATTAAGTTCACTCAGCATGCCATGCCATCTAATAATTGAAGGAAACAAGTCCAAAAGGCAGTTGACTGTGTAAAGCCACATAAAACAACACAGAAATATGATAAATATGCCGAGTTCAGTGGCTAATCTGCAGGATTCAGCTGAGGTGACGTGACGGCGACCAACGAGACCTATCTGTCACTCAAGTGGCCACGCCCTTAATTATGCAAACTTAATATAACTTAATATAAAGGAAACGGATGAGTTATAAAAAATTCACCCCCCTCACAGTTGTCATGAAGGGTAATATTAGCTGTATTAACCAAAATCTTGTTTTGTACCAGGCTGTAAACACCTTTTTTTCTGCTGTAAAGTTGGCCATTCTAACAGTGGGCTCAATTGAAATTTGCTCTGTTTTGGAGCCAGGAGCGGCCAGGACTAGCGGAATTTCGGATGATTTGCAGTTTTAGTTACTTCCGTATTGGCTTCCTGAGAGAGAGCGGGAGGTTGCCGCTTGGTTTTAACACGTGAAGCTGATTTAGTTTTTTTCTTAAGAAAGGATTTTGCTTGAAAATGATATAGAATTAAAGAAATCAAATGTGCTTGAATGTTAAATAATACCTTAGTTGCGGTAGTTGTTTGGTTTTCCCATCGCTGCACCAGCGAGCTCTTGTTTCCTAATCCTGCGGCCCACACTGCTCTGCCATCTTCAGGTGTGGACCCCTTCCCCTGAAGCACAGATGCCCTGTCAGCTTTTCCTGAGATTACGGTGGGCTCTACCTCCTCATTCAGAGCCTGTTCCTTCAAGACAGTACTGGCAGACTGTTGGACGCCCAGGTGGGATGTCACCTTTGGGCTTGAGAATAAATGTGGGGGACCAGGGGGAGGTGTGGGTTGCTGTATAGCTTGCGAGGGCCTCTGTGATGCTGATCGAAATGGCGAAGACTGCTGGATGGGTGGTATCGGTGTTGGCTGTTTTGATGCATGTATGTTCGATGTGCTTGTAACCGAAGACTGAGTTGGTTTTACTATTGAATTACAGACTTGAGTTTTAGACTGAAACTGAACATCTTTTGTGCTGTCAATTACAGGCTGAGTAGTGGTTGAACTTGCTGATGGTTGGCTTGTTGTTGTTCTAGTTTGAGTCTGCACCGGTGTGACCTGAGTGTTAGATTGTGTGGGTCTTCCAGAGGGATGTGCACAAGGTGGTTGTTTTGTGTCTATGGGTTTGAGTTGAGGTTGTGTAGCTGTCGGCTGGCTTGTTATGTTTGGAGTGGTTTTTGGGTTGGCTTGAGATGATTGGACTTGTGTTGTGCTTGAGGTTGATGGTCGTGATTGCAAGCTTGGAAACTCCGGCAGTCTACTGGTGAAGAGCTGTTGGAGACTTCTGGTCTTCTCTCTGGCCATCTCCATCCAGGACACCTCTGAAGGTGTGGATGTTGGTACCGTCTCCTGAGAGGACACAGCTGGGGTCTCAACTGGAGGCAAGTCTGTACATTCTTTGGGGGGTGAAGGTGCAATCTTAGTGTCTGATGATGACGGCTGAGGAGGCTCTGAAAAAAAGATGAGAATATTTATTTATCAGAAAAAAATGTAATTTTGGGCAAAGTTGGCCACATGCATACATAAGGTTCCTTTGATGCAAATTTATTTATTCAGCTGCGCCACAACCATTATAAAGGCTATCCACTTGTTAAGCTAAGACTTATCGGTGAGGTATGGAATACTGTTTCCTGGTCCAAGCTTATTTGAACTGAGAAAATATTAATTCATGGCTTTTTTTTAGTCCTATCACACATTAAATTGATTTTTCTTATAAAATTATAGTGTACACCACAGTCTCTGGACTTGCTGCATCTCAAATACCAATATTTTAACAATTTATAAAAAATTAATCACTTTCTGAACTTTCTAAAATGTGTTTAGGAGCCAAAATGAACTTGTTTGCTTTGGTGAGCTGTTTTGAACTGCCTCAAACTTAGTTTTAGCTTTGTTGTTCGAAGTGACGTCATTTCCTTTCATTCTTCGACTTTGTTTGAAGTATACCAGGGCCTTAAAATAATTGTTAATACACCAAGGAACGCATTCATTCACTTATCTTTCGGCTTAGTCTCTATTTCAGAAGTCTCCACAGAGAAATGAACCGGCAACTCTTCAAGCATATGTTTTACACAGCAGATGCCCTTCCAGCCGCAATCCGGTTTTGGGAAACACCCATACACTCTCATTCACAGACAGTCATACACTACGGCCAATTTCGTTTATTCAGTTCACCTAAAGCGCATGTCTTTGGACTGTGGGGGAAACTGGAGGTAACCCACCTGAACATTAAGAGACCATGCAAACTCCATACAGAAATGCAACTGGCCCAACCAGGACTGAAACCAGCAACCTTCTTGCTGTAGGGCACCAGAACTAATCCCTGAACCACCTCATACTATTTAGGCAAATTAAAGGAGTTTACATAGTGAGCTGCATTTACATTAATCTTGTGACATAAAAACAGACTACATGGGTCAGTCCAAAGCACAAACATTCTTCCTCATAAGCAATTGAGTTTTCATATCTTTTGTTTATTAGAATAGATTAGAGGGGATTTGTTGTGAATATTAGTAAGACTGTTTGGTTTTGTTTGGTTCTTTTATTTAGCGCCACCCATAGCCAGTCTTTCTAACATTTAATTGTGTATTGTCTTTAACCTTGTATATACCTCACTCACTGATTCACCCTCACCTTTTTGTAAATAAATCACTTATTTTTCAACGTATTCTTGCTGTCCATCCTTACTTTGTATCACAATTTGTTTTTGATTTTTTTTTTTTGCAATAACTAATTCCTCTGTTTAATGTGCAACTCCACTCCCCTAGACAAAAAGGGGTTGTAACAGTAGTGTTAAAAACTAACAAGGAACCTCATCCACTGTTTAAAACTAAGCCCAGAATTGATTGAAGAGAGAATATTGATGCATTTTGAAAATCTCTAAATCAATGCAGACTTGATTTCTTGGATGATTTTTTTTGGCAAACTCAATATGCTCCACATATTCTGTTGGCACAAATAAACACAGACAAATGGCAACAGATGTCAAATATTGGTAAAACACTTATTTGACAAAACTAGATGAACAAATCAGTTGAAGTTCATTGGAGTCTGTTAGTGCAGTGCGAATTGATCTTTACAAGTTGATTCTCAATCAAAAAGTCACACAATTGTGAGCACAGTTAAGGCCAATTACAATTCATTGTCAATTCTTTATGATTTTGCTTTTTTCTTTTCAGTTCAGTCCCTTAATTTATCTGGACAGCGGAATAAACTACCAACTTAATAAACACTCATTCACACTCATACACTACGGACAATTTAGCCTACCCAATTCATATTTACCGCATGTCTTTGGACTGTGGAGGAAACCCACGCCAAGGCAAGGAGAACATGCAAACTCCACAAAGAAAAGCCAACTGACCCAGCAGAGGCTCAAACCACCAGCCTTCTTGCTGTGAGGCGAATGTTCTACCCACTGTGCCGCTGTGCAGCCACTGCATACCTTAAATTATACAAATTCCTCTAATAATTATTATGAAATAAAGGTCAGTTTAAGATCATGATTCGGTTAATCCTTTTGTCAGATCAATAATATGAACAGGTATAATAAACAAAGATCTACGGGTCCAATCTGCCATTTGTTTACTGATTTCAGTGTGAATACAGAGGTTTTATAAGCCCCGGTTATAAATAAGAGGTTTTATAAGTTTTATAGGCCCCGTTTACACTAGTGCGTTTTAGTTTGAAAACGGTGTTTAAAATCAAAAATGATCCGCATCGACACTAGCGTTTCAGAAAATATCTCCGTCCACACTACGCCACCAAAAACGTATATCACGTGACCGTTCGCGCACTCTGGGCATGCACGTTCTAGCGAATATATGCTGCTGCTGTAGTAAAAAAGGCAGTTTAACTGCATAATGGCGCCTAAAACAGACAATGCAAACAACGCTCCCATTTCTGTGTCCATTATGTTGTTTACAGTGAAGGCTGGTCTGTTGTCTTCCGGTAGCGTTAAAGCCATGTGTTAAAGTCATGTGATAGGAGCTTGACGAGTAAGGGAAGGATAAGCAATGACACAAAAGCCCCATTCAGCTAACAAATCTCGGCAGCCCCGTCTACGTTTTCAGATGTCTCCGTTTTCCCTCATCCACAGTGAGACGGAGCAGCAGCGTTTTAGAATGAAAACGGCCTCTCCAGCCTTTCCAAAACGCTCCGTTTTCAGCGCTCGAAAACTCCGGCGTAGTGTGGAAGGATGGTGTAACCGTAGCAAAACGTATGGGTTTTCAAACTAAAACGCATTAGTGTAAATGGGGCCTCAGACAAGCACAGACTGTTTCTTGGTATGACCTGGAACATCTTCCTCAAGATATGTAGCTGTTCAAATTCATCATAATTGCAAACTAAATAGGCCAGAAGATTAATCTTTAGGTACCTTGGGAAACCACAAAAAGAAACTCACCAGTCGGTCTGAGGAAGCCCGGTCTCTCCTTTTCTCTACTGAAAGAACTTGAGGCCTGAACTAAGTTTGTAGAGCTATTGGTTTGGAGAGGAGGGTCTTTGAGTTTGGCATGGACTCTTATGGCCCCTGTGCGTTGAGCCTCAGGTTCAACATAGCTGGCTGAATCAGACTGTGAGGCCACAGATGGAGCTTGAGGAAAGGTTTCAAAGCTGTGGCGTTTTGCCTTATCATCTGATTGAGCTTTGTCCAATCGAAACTTAAGAGAAAGAGAGGTAGAGCGAAGCTTCACTCCAAATGCATTTGTAGACTCTTTCGCTTTGCCTGCCATGGCATCCTCCACCACATCCTCGTCTGCCTCTTCGGCAGCCTCCACCTCACTTAAACCTTGCTCAGTAGTCTCTACCTTGATCTCCTGCTTCTCGTTGATCTGAATCTCCTCCACATTCATGGGCTTTGAAAGGTCAGTGGATTTTGGTGGTATCACGGAATCAGAGTATCCTTTGTCTTCCTTCTTAGATGATGGTGGTAAGCTAACACATGGGTCTTTTATTGCTTTCTCAACTTGTGAACCTACTTGCCAGTCTGTCTTGAATTTCAAAGTTGGTTTGTTAACTTCGATGGCTTCCTTTTTCAGTCCATCTTGTCCAACTACCCCGGTGAAGCTTCCAGTCCTCTGGCGCTCTTGATTCTTGTCTGAGGAGACACTGAATGATCCAGATACAGTTCTCTGGCGCTTTATGGTTTCTGTTTGAGCGGTATCCTGACTTACAGCCGACACTGGGATGACTGGGGGAAGAGTCTTAGACTCTGGTTTGTCATCTGTTGAAGGTACATATCTTCTAAAAGATGATGGTCTCAGACTTACTCCACAAATTACATTGGGTGAAGCAGAAATAGAGCTTTCAATATTTACTGGACTCTGAACACTATATTTCCTCAATATATCCATTTGGTTTTGTGCCGGCACAGTATTAGTCTTCTTCTGATCTTTCACAGGATTTAGTTCTGGTGTAGTTGACACAGCTGGTCTTACAGTTGACACGGGGTTACTTTGGCTGCTCTTGAGTAGTTTAGAGCTGCTGAATGTCTCACTCTCTTCTTTTCTCTTTCTGTCAATTGGCACCACTGGGATTGGTGGTTTCGCCACTGGTGGCTCAGCTGAAGGCATCTCTTTTGGGCTAGGACTCCTCGCAGGAGATGTGGACAGGATGTTACTCGCAAGTTCCGGTTCAGATGAAATTTGTGCATCTTCAGCAGTCTGCAGAGCCATTAATGGTGAAATCGGAAGGCTCTTGATTGGCATTGCTGTGAGCTTCTCCCCTGGACGTAAAACTTGAGAGGAATACGACTGAGCGCGAGGTATCTCTTTTACAAGAGCCACCCCCTCCTCTTCCTGCCTTGTAGCAACTGACTGGTCCAGATTGTTCAGACTCTCTGACCGAGTTCTGCTTCCATCCTGCTTCAAAGGGACAGGGTGAGATGGGGGGAAATGTATCAAATGTATATCAAAATATATCATGAGCAAACTCAAAACTTCTGCTAAAGAAGAGTAATGTAGTAGGATGTAATCACTGTACACAAGTGCAGCAATGTTTCAGGAACAAAAAATATTGAATCCTCATTGGGTTTGGTAGACATCTTTCCTTTTCCTTTGTTGCTTTTCTAACATTGTATCTACTCCAGGTGTTACTGTTGAACCAAACCATTTACACAATGTCAGTAGTGTTCATATTGTAAAAATAATAATAATAATAATTCTTTACATTTATATAGCACTTTTCTGGGCACTCAAAGCGCTTTACACAATAGGGCTGGGGGGGGGGGGGGGGGAAATCTCCTCATCCACCACCAGTGTGCAGCATCCATCTGGATGATGTGACGGCAGCCATTTTGCCCCAGACCGCACACCACACACCAGCTGATTGGTGGAGAGGAGACAGTGATGAAGCCAATTGGAATATGGGGAGGGTTAAGAGGCCGGGGTTAAACCCCTACTCTTTTTCGAAGGACATCCTGGGATTTTTAACGACCACAGAGTCGGGACCTCGGTTTAACGTCTCATCCGAAAGACGGCGCTCACTGAGCAGTATAGCGTCCCCGTCACTATACTTGGGCATTAGGACCCACACAGACCACAGGTTTGGCGCCCCCTGCTGGCCTCACTAACACCACTTCCGGCAGCAACCTAGCTTTCCCATGTGGTTAATTTAGCACATACAAATAATGTTACAGTATGTTACCGTATCGCATCTTCAAAATTCAGTTGCATTAATTAGTGGAGATATTTTTACCATACAAACAAAATGTGTAAGAATTTTGTTGGTCATTTATTTTCAATAGTAATTAAAAATCAAATTAGCAAAATACTGGACTATAGGTTTAGTGAAGGCCAGGGGTGGGCAAACTCGGTCCTGGAGGGCCGGTGTCCTGCACAGTTTAGCTCCAACCCTAATCAAACACACCTGTTTATAGATTTTTTGTGATCTTAAAGACACTGATTAGCATGTTCAGGTGTGTTTGACTAGTGTTGGAACAAAACTCGGCAGGGACACCGGCCCTCGAGGATCAAGTTTGCCTATCCCTGGTCAAGGCCATAAGAAGACTCACTGTAATGGACACCCTCTTGTTTTTGGCACTAGCCCTTTGGTTCTTGGGTTTGAGAGACATTCGGTGGCGGGCAGCAGAGTTGTCCAGAAGGGAAACGACCTGTGGAGGAGTGCTGAAGTCTACTGCTGACCCTGGAGCCTGTGGCGAAAGAGGCGCAGGGCTGATCGATCGAGGAGAGAGAGGCTGTGAAGAGGCCTGGAAAGGGAAGAGGGGCACTTTTTTAAAAATACAACATTTTACACTTAATAAACCATTCAGATTTAGGTCATGAATAAGATGTATGATTGACAGGCATAATGTAAACAGCATGATGAAATGACATGAGGCTACCTGTTCTTCCTCTTCGCTTCCTGTTCCAGCTAAGCTCAAAGTGCTATGGTTCTTGGAAGGGAGGGAATACTGCAAACATAATGATGTGGACGTTTACACCATATTTAGCTAACACGCTAGCTATTTTTTTGCTAAAATATGCTGAAAGGCACATTTTGAACAAATGGAAACACAAAATGAGTTACATAAACGAATGTAGAGGGAATTGAAAGATGATATTAGCTGAAAACATGCAATTATCACCACAACACATTAGCGTACAATACGTCACAATAAAGATCTTAGGATGCTGCTGATGTCTTTTAGTACAAGCACCTTGTTCGATATGCTCATGTACAGTGCATCACTGTGGGAAACTTCAGGTGGGCTTCGAGGAAGACCATCATCTTCTGAATTTCTACCTGCATCTTCACGTTGTTTACTGGGCAAAAGCAGAGGAGGAGGACCTAGGTGCATCTTTTGCTGCTGGAGCTTCATCTGATCAGCCAGGGGGGAAAAAAAGATTATTTATTAATAAGGATTAATTCACCTCTAAATTTAAAATCTGTTATTCATTACTAACCCTGTTATTCTAATAGCCTGAGATCTTCATTAATCTTTGGAACACAAATTAGGATATTTTCATCCTCCATATTTATAAATGGTCCCGAAATGTTAAAAGTCCAGAAAAGAAACCAAAAACATTGTCAAAACCTTCCATGTGACTTCAGTGGTTCAACTGTAATCATACGACACTATGAATTCTTGGACTTTTGTGAGTAAAAAATGACTTTGTTCACCAGTGTTTTTCATGTCAGCTCAGGGTGTGCATTTACTACAAAAAATATATGCTTGCTTGTTGCTCAGCTGACTATAATGGAAATACATCGTACTGCCCTTAGTAAGCGTGCACGCTGACCTATTTAAGAAAACAAGACACAGGTGAACATAGTCATATTTACAGTTTACATACCTTTTTTGGATCTTTGTAAGTTCACAGTTGAAGTCACATGGACAGTTTTGGACCATTTATGTCTATGGAGGATTCAAGAGCTCTTGTATTTAATGTAAAATGTCTTAATTTTTGTTCAAAATTTGAAGATCTTAGGGTTTGGAATAGCATGTTAATAACTGAATTTTCATTTCTAGGTGAATTATTCCTTTAATAGAACTAATGAAAACATTTCTGTCATTCTGTTCTTTAATAATGGAGAGTGCACCAAAGAGCTGTGAATATTTTGCTGAGAATATTTTCTTTTTACTTTGTATTTGTTTATTTAAAAAAAAATTAAGACTTTAATTCTGGAAGGATGATTTAATGGCAACAAAATGAAGAAATGTACCACAGCTTTACATTTCATTTACATTATTTCATTATCTCATAATATATATTAAAAGAATGTAATATGTGTTTCACAAATATGAACTAAGAGAACAGAAATGTTTTATTTATTTAATGAAAAAAAATAATGAATGAGTTTCACAACTAATAAGTCAAGAGTGGTCAGTTTCTGTCAGCTTTTAAGAAAATATGTTTCAATTTATTCAGCATTAAAAGCTTGGGTAAAAACAAAAAACTTTTTTCCCCTTTGAAAACAATATATTCTATTTTTTTTTCAAAGATTTATGATATTTTGGAGCAGTAAACATGACAGGCTAAATAATTCTATTGAATTAATGACTTCTGCTGTCTTCATTTGTTTCAAAAACAATGATTTCTTTACAATTTAAACAGCATCTTTTGATTTTTTTTTTTCTGCTGGAGATACTGTTCTAAAAAAATGTAAATAAAAATCTTAAACACCTTTGGGACGGTATTACAGAAATATTCAGGACAATAAAAGTGTTCCTTTCTAGTAAAATTGCGCAATAATACTAGTAGTAATAATAGAAATATATTATTATTATTATTAATAATAATAATAATAATAATAATAATAATAATCATAATAAACATTTATGCATGCAGGCAAAGCTGTCAGTCACATTTGGTCAAATTGTTAATGGAGCACTATAAATAATGGAGAGTGCACCAAACAGCTGTGCCGTTTTAAAAAGGAAATAAAAAAATAAATAAAATAAATGTGTAACATCACAGGCAGACTGAGAGCAAATGTCACTGAGTCTTGTGGATGTGGTTTATTGTACTGACCTGCAGAGCTCGGATGTTGCCATGGATGTTCTCCTGAGACAGAACTCTCAGTGGTTCTGTGTCTGAATGACCGTGTTCGGCCTGAAAAATGCTGTCATGTGAAAATGCTCTGGATCCCAGCATGCCTTTGGAGCAACTTTAAAGTAAACATAAATTGTTAAAAGAGGAGTACACTGTTTATACTTAAATGTATACATGTAAACTCATGTGTACTCATGTCAACCCATTTAGTTTTTTGCAAGATTTTGTTTTATGCCAAAAATTATTAGAATATTAAGTAAAGATCATGTTCCATAAAGACATTTAGTAAATTTGTACTGTAAATGTACCAAATGTAATTTTTAACTAGAAATATGCTTTGCTAAGAGCTTAATTTGGACAGCCTTAATGCCAATTTTCAACTTTTCAATTTTTCTTTTTTTATAGATATTTCCTAAATATGTTCACAGCATCTCTGATAATATTTTTTCTTCTGGAGAACGTCTTATTTGTTTTATTTCAGCTAGAATAACAGCAGTTTTTAATTTTTTAAACAGCATTTTAAGGACAAAATTATTAGCCACTTTAAGCTAATTTTTTTTTTGATAGTCTACTGAACAAATCATCGTTATACAATAACTTGCCTAATTACCCTAACCTGCCTAGTTAACCAAATAACCTAGTTAAGCCTCTAAATGTCACTTTAAGCTGTATAGAAGAGTCTTGAAAAACATGTAGTCAAATATAATTTACTGTCATCATGGCAAACATAAAATAAATCAGTTATGATAAATATTAAAACTATTATGTTTAGAAATGTGTTAAAGAAATATTATCTTTGTTAAATAAACAGAGGCTAATAATTCAAGGGGCTATTAATTCTGACTTCAACTATATGTACTGTATAGTCGAGTAGCGTATTTTAAAGTGATAGTTCACCCAAAGGCGTCAATTTTCTCACCCTCAAGTGGTTCCAAACCTATATCAGTTTCTTTTTTCTGCTAGAAGAAGAAAGCTGATAACCACTGACTTCCATAGCAGGAAATACAAATACTATAAAAGTCAATGTTCACAGGTTTCCTGCTTTCTTCACAGTATCTTCTTTTAGGTTAAGCCAAAAAAAGAAACTCGCACAGATTTGTAACGGATGAAGCGTGAGTAACTGACAACCGATTTATTTGTTTTGCGTAAACTAACCCTTCATGTGACAGTTTAGCCATTTTTACAGATTAATTTGAGCAGGGATCACTTCGACAACATATTTTACACAAACGTTTAATATATGCTAATTAAAATTGTTTCTTTTCGATCAAAGGCACAATGGATTTTGAATTTTTATCAATTTTTATCACAATTTTATCAAAATGCAATTAAATAAATTCCTTTTTTACAGGAAATCCTCAAAGCGCGCAGAGCTGTAAGAGGTTTCAGAGATGTTCTTTTTATTATTATTTCTTTTTTACCTTTTTTCCTTTATTAGATAGGACAAAAGACAAAGTGGAAGAGAGAAGGGTGTAAGGTTGGGAAATGTCCTCGAGCCGGGATTCGATCTCAGGACGCCCTGATGTGCTACTGCACCATATGTCGACGCTCTAACCACTAGACTAGAAAAATAACTATCCTTTTTAATGATTTTTTTTTTCAATAACAGCATTTGCTAGCTGAGCTGTTTTCAAATCGTACCATGCAGACAGTGAGTGAAAAGTGAGCACCTACTCGGAGTCCTCAGCACCCCATGCAATGTCACTTTCAGACTGACTCTGCTTCAGTCCACCATCGTCCTCCTTCCTCTTTATCTTCACAAGCAAGCGAGACTTTAGAGACTTTAACCTGGACTTCTTCCTTCCTAAACATCAAACACAATACGTCTTGGCATTATGCATTTCATGTATGATAGTAAAGGTGCAGTAGATTCAAAAAGACAAGTATCTTATTATATAACAATTGCTGACATTAGAATATACAGTACATATTTTTTTTGGTCTTGAGCCTTAAGGATTTCTGACCTGTTAAGTCGTCAGTGGCTTCTCCCTCTGGATCTCCTGAGGCCTCCAGAACATTCATTTTCACCGGTTCTGCTGTTAATGAGGACAGTTTCACACAAAACAGACGGCAGAGAATGAGGAGAGAGAGAAAGAAACACAGGAGAGCTGCGTAAACTGTCAAAGAAAACGTTCTAGAATGACAACAGCATGTTATCGTTTATTAAATGTGTTTCTTAAATTCACAGCAGAAGGAGTGAAGCAGAGGAGTGATTTACTGACATGTGAATTACTCGATGTGGCAACGTGGCTAAATCTGCAATGCTTGCGATAAGAGAAGACTTTTCTCAACCCAACAGAGACCAAAGGTTTCTTTGCCGGTCGTATTTTCCATGTGATCTGAGAGTTGTTACTTGAGAACATAAATTGCCTTCTAAAACATTAAGGATATTTTCTTTTTACTTTGTATTTGTTTATTTAAAAAAAGAAATTAATTTGATACTTTAATACTGCAAGAATGATTTGATTGCAGTAAAGTAATCAACCACAGCTAAACAAAACTAATTAATTTTATTAGAAATATCTCTTACAAATATCTTTTAATATATTAAAAGAATGTAATCTGTGGGTTACGAATATGAACTAAGAGAACAGAAATTATTTATATCTTCATTGAAAAAAAAAAATGAATGAGTTTCACAACTAAGAGTCAAGAGCGGTCCGTTTCTGTCAGCTTTTTAAAATAAATGTTTCATTTAATTCAGCATTATATGTGATCAAAAAATCACAGTAATTAAGCAGAAAAATGTAAATAAATGCTGTTCATCCATACTTTTATTCATCCAAGAATCCAAAAGAACAGTTTTAATTAGGCATGGGCCGGTATAAGATTCTAATGATATGATAACCTTGGACAAATATATTGCAGTTTCACAGTATCAGGATATTGTGCTCACTGCTCAAAAATAAATTCTTTTTAAATGTCTAGGTAAAAAATGAAAACTTTTTTCCCATTGAAAAACAGTATATTATTATAATTTTTTTTAAAGATATATGATGTTTTGGAGCAGTGAACATGTCAGGTGACGTCCAGCGTTCTCCAGCCTTCGAGACTGCAGTTCTGCACAAGACGTTTGGCCATAGGAGAAATGGTCGTGCTCAACTGAGCCTGGTTTCTCTGTTTTTTTAATTCTTCACCTTCGCCAATTGGTGAAGTTATTTTCTCAAAATGTACCCTTTGAAAACTATACATTTTTTGAGAGCGTAAAATAAAGTGTGATTAAAACTTTCAGAAAGTGTAATATTACTGTTTTATTGTACTGTTTTTTAATTGAATAAATTAGGTCTTGGTGAACACAAGAGACTTTCATTCATTCATTCATTCATTTTCTTGTTGGCTTAGTCCCTTTATTAATCCGGGGTCGCCACAGCGGAATGAACCGCCAACTTATCCAGCAAGTTTTTACGCAGTGGATGCCCTTCCAGCCGCAACTCTGGGAAACATCCACACACACACATATACTACCCAATTCACCTGTTCCGCATGTCTTTGGACTGTGGGGGAAACCGGAGCACCCGGAGGAAACCCACGCGAACGCAGGGAGAACATGCAAACTCCACACAGAAATGCCAACTGAGCTGAGGATCGAACCAGCTACCCAGCGACCTTCTTGCTGAGGCGAACGTGCTACTCACTGCGCCATTGTGTCGCCATTTTATTGTACAGTTTTTTTTATACATATATTTTTGATTGAAAAAATTAAGTCTTGGTGAACACAAGAGACTTTTTAAACATAAAATTAGAGATGCCACTTCATTTAACCTCAGCCACTCATGTCTTGTAATGTGCGTCACGTTTCTCTCAATGCATATACTTTATTATGACAACAAACTTGTCTTATCACTGGCCATGCCTTGATAGCACAGATATGCACTATAACAGACAAAAAGCACATGCAAAGTCCACCCTGTCTGCCCTTTTAAAAGCATCATCAGAAACGCCAACATTACGTAATAAAATGCTAAACAAAACCAAATATGTCTTTAATGTTTGTGTTCACAATATTGAATTATTACATACTTCAGAATTTTTCTTTAAAACGTATCACAGGCTGTGCATGATAAATACATAATCAGCATGTGTGTGCGGACTTATTTTTTCCTAAATGCAAGCAATCAGTGCCATGTCAACAAGGCTGATATCTACTGCAGAATCAGACACAGATCGCATGAAATATGATGATAATCATTGAGCAGGATAAGACTGCATAGAGATGGTTGTAGAATTTTACACAGCAATAATCTTACAGATTAAACATAGACTTGCTGTACAGCCCAAGAAATCCTTTTTATTAAATGTGTTAAATGTACATTTAAAGAACAGCATTACAGTACATTTACCAAATCCTGAAACAGTTTCAATTATTTGTTTTATTATTTGTTCAATAATAAAGTGAAAATTGTATATTGGGAAATATTATACATTTATTTGTGGTCAACAATACAGTTTAAATAATATATTGAGAAATATTAGCCATTTATGTTTTATCAACAATAGTACAGGGGTGAAATGTGCACTTATTTGATCAATAATACAGTATAACCAGTATATTGTTGATTATTATGAATTTATTTGATCAACAATACTGTACAAATTATAATATTGTGAAATATTATCCATTAAATTGATTAATAATATAGTAAAAATAGTATATTGTGAAACTGAATGCATTAATGTGATCAACAATACAGTACAAATAGTAATAGTTGGAAATATTATCCATTCATTTGTTTAATATTATAGTAAAAATAGTATATTGGGAAATTTTATGCATTTATGATCAACAATACTGTACAAATAATATTATTGTAAAATATTATCTATTAAATTAATCAATAATATAATAAAAATATATTGTGAATATATATATATATATATATATATATATATATATATATATATATATATATATATATATATATATATATATATATATATATATATATATATATATATTGTGAAATTGAATGCATTTATGTAATCAACAATACAGTAGTAATAGTGGGAAATAGTATCCATTAATTTGTTCGATAATAAAGTAAAAATATTATATTGTGAAATATAATGCATATATTTGATCAATAATACAGTATAAAGGGTATATTGGCTGATATTATACATTTATTTGACCAGAAATAAAAACTAGTAATACTGGGAAATATACTTTATTTCGTGCAATGATATAGTAAAGATAGTATATTGTGAAATATTTTGCAGTTATTTGATCAATAATACAGTAAAACTAGCATTAGGGAAATATTATATATTTATTTGGCCAAAAACACAGTACAAATAGTATATTGGCCAATATTATGCATTTATTTGACCAATAAATATAGTAATAATGGGAAACATCATTCATTTTGATCAATATTATAGTAGTATATTGTGAAATAGTACAGTACCAATACAGTATAAAGAGTATACTGTGAAGTATTATGCATTTATTGTATCAATAATACAATACAAATAGCATGTTGTAAATTAATATGCATTTGACCAACCATAAAGTATATATTGTGAAATATTATGGACTTATTTGATTAACAAAACAGTGCAAATAGTAAATTCTAAGAAACTTTACACTACATTACAACATTACGTTATTTATTTGACAGAAATTAAACAGTAGATCTGCAATATTAAGCAGTTATTTAGAGTAAAATACTGCAGTTTTTAAACATTATTAATTAGAATTTTTTTTTAAACTTTTTAGCACCATTACTACCACACGATCCTTCAGAAACCATAGCAACATGCAGATCATGTTATTATCAATGTTACATTATTAAAACATAGCATTATAAAAATATACACTACTTACATTGTCAGTGAAAAATCCTCTTTCCCCTTGAGTAATTTAGCTTTTGTTCTCCCTGTTAAAAGACAAGCATTGCTTTATATCAGATAAACCCCAGCAGCTCTGTTCCAATCCCAAACACACAAAGAGAAGAAGAAACTGAAAGATAGACCAGAGAGAGTGCCAAATCACAAAAACAACTCATGAAAGAGAAAACAAGGAAAAGGAAAAGCTGACTAGAGATGCGCAAAGACTGACGGTTGAACGCATGCTTTTTTCCCTGCACGTTTAAGCTCCTTACAAAACACTGAGCAGCTTTTTGAATGCACAGCCGATGAAAGCATCAGTCAGTATAACACACCGCCCAGCACTTTATCAGCCACAGACTGCGTACGTGTTGATAAGGAGGATGTTTAATCAAAAATTAACGTTAATAAAGACACTGGGGTCAACATGGGCGTTGCTAGGCCTATTTTAGGAGGGCTATATTTCTACTCAGCCCCCCTAAAACTTTAGCGATTAGCTCATTAACTGTGCACTAAATCGCCTCAGTCCCGTTTAAATTTGATAAGTAAATGTCGGCAGAATTCGGCTCCTCCCCGTCTTTTAATTTTCATTTGATCAGCAAACCACATATGTGGACAGCGAGAGAGCGAGGTGTGTGTTTATTGATAAATTGTTATAATATGAGCTTATTTGCAGTTCTATGATCAAGATAACCTTGTATCACCTGTATCCCAATGTCACAGAGGAGCACCCTGCTGAAAAACCAGCTTAAACCAGCCTAGGCTGTTTGGCTGGTTTTAGTTGGTTGACCAGCCTGGTTTTAGAGGGGTTTTGGCCATTTCCAGCCTGGTCTTAGATGGAAATAGCTGGTTGCCAGCCTGGTTTAAGCTGGACATAGCTGGTTTTGCCTGGGCTTCCAGCCTGGCTAGGCTGGTCAAGTTGGTTTAGGCTGGTCATCCTCCAGCCTGACCAGCTAAGACCAGGCTGGAAATGGCCAAAACCCCTCTAAAACCAGCTTGGTCAACCAGCTAAAACCAGCCAACCAGCCTAGGCTGGTTTAAGCTGTTTTTGTCAGTAGGGCAGTCAGGTTTTTTCGGCATTCACCTCATCAACTCTGTTTTCTCCAGCAAAAAATGTACCTCTTAACGAACATTTCGCTATTTTTATTTCAAAATGAACTACTAATATTAAATACTTTACAGTTTGTGTGGTATTATCTATACCATACAGTCTTGCACAGAAAGGATTACACACAGTGGGCCCTATCATACACCCGGCGCAGTGTGGCGCAAGACACAGCGCAGTAGTCTTTTGGTAGTTTCAGCTTGGCGCAAGAGTCGTTTTGAGGCGTTGCACTACGCTGTTTAAATAGCAAATGCATTAGCGCTCATTTGTGCGCCCATAGGCGTTCTGGTCTAAAAAGGAAGGCGTTCTGAGGCGGACCGCTGGCGCGTTGCTATTTTGAGAAACTATAATAGATTTTTCATTAGACCAAAACAAACCCGGTCTAAACTCCATTAACTATTTTCTAGCCTACATAAATATGAAAAATCACTGCTTTTATGTCTTCTTCATCTCAGGAGGCTTTTTCAGTTCATTCATAACAATTTGCTTTTGTATAATGTTATTATTATTAGCAGTATTATTTATTATATCCATATATATATTTGTTTTTATTAAAAACAAGCTTAGATTTGCCCACCTGTCAGGTTTAAGACCATATGGGGCATAGCATGTGTATTTGGAAATAACTCAGTATTTTGACCCCACTTGGTCATTATTGTTCATTTATTCGTTTGCTGGAAATTAGAACTGAATTTAGAAATAGCTTTGAAACAAATCTTTGCGCTTAACAAACGAAATGAATTATTTATAGGCTAATTGATGTCTGTGCATAAAGGTTTCCCTATCCAAGAGCGAAAGTGAAAGTAGATCATTTATCTCTCATTCTCACGCAGTAGATGCTCTATTTAACAGTTTTCTGTTAAAAATCTGTCAACTGTTAACTGTTTGCTTGTGAAATGTTAATTTTTTCCACTTAGACTTACTTTGCGTCCTGTAAATAGCGAATACGCTCTTGGCGCGACGCAGCTGGGTCTTAAAGGGAATGGGAGATGAGACTATTCTCAAAACACACCTATAACTCATTAAGAAAATAAACTCAACCCTTTTAGACCATGCGTCTTGGCGCAAAGCAGGTTTCCCCGTCCGTTAATTAGCAAAAATGCGTTCTGACACGCCCTGAAAGCGTTTGCGCCCTGCATTTTGCGATCTGCGCATGGACCGTCAAAATAGAGCCCAGTGACAGAGGCATATAGAGAATGTACTCATTTTAACTGTCACTGAGTCACTAACAGAGATAAAAACATCAAGTGTTGTCCAGTGTTAAAAAATACTACTTGTCTATTATTATCATTCAGATCGTAAAATATGTGAATTAGCGTGTAAGTTTAAAATATATTTATATGTATGTCATTTAATTAGAAAAATGGCAGTTTATTTATTTAATACATTGAAACAAAAAATGCACTATAGAAAGTGGTTTTTAATACAGTAAACAGGTGGGTTGAGCCTAGCCTCTTTGGCTGATTCAGAACTCAAATGGCTGTGCCTGTCTATGTAATACAGTGAAATACTAGTATACAACCAATATTAAACAAACATTTTAAGTGCCTTACTATTAAATTACTACTTATAAATGTAATATTAGGCTTTAAATATATATTATTTTTTATATGAGCCCCCCTAAAATGAAAATCTTAAAATTGCCCCTGGTGGTCAGCTGCAGGCAGCCAGAGCATCACGTCTGATTTAAGCTCCTCTTGTGCTTGTAAATGATTTGTTAATATAAGAGACTGTTGAGCGTTTGTGTCAGGCATTTGCATGAACACGTCATCACTCGGTTTTTGTATGCAAATCTTTTTTGAAACTGTCACCTTTTGTTTGCATATACTCTTCCATGTGTACTGTTTTTAAATGAATACAAATTGAAAAAAATGGTAATGTCAGTAAGATTTGCTTTTGAAGGAAATGCAACAATGCATTAACTGCTCAAAAGTGAATAAAACAGCTCATTATTTGACACAATATAGATATTTATTAATATTATAAATATTTCCAATAAATTGCATTTTTGTAATTGAGTGGATTGAACCAACACAATCTCACGGCAATTCGTAACTTTTTCATTTAGTGGCTAATTCGTATGAATTCGTACGATCTAATTCGTACAATTTAGTACGATTTGCTTATCCCCCAATGACGGTTGGGGTTAGGGGTGGGGTCAGGTGCCACGCCTCCTTTTTAAAATCGTACCATTTCGTACGACTGAACTCGTACGAATTAGTACGAATTAGCCACTAAACTGGCAAAACGTAAAATACTTACGTTTTCTCGTGAGATCAGGCTGGATTGAACATAAGCAATTAAGTTTTCTCCCTAAAAAAACTGTTTCAGCTCAATTTAAAAAAGTACTTTGAACAAATAGCTTACATTACAGTCAAAATCAGAAAGTTAAGGTGTTGTGTATAGGGTGGACAGTTAACCTGTAGTACATGTAGACGAATTACCAACCTACGTCACACGGGTTCCAGGTTGCAAAAAGAGACCACTGTTAATAGTAAACATGTCGTATTGTGCAGTAGGATGCCAAACTTAAAAGTCCAAAAATTAAAAACTTAAATTTTACTATACACCACACTGCTTTAAATGCCAACAGCAGACGTCTTTGGCTAAAATGGAGCTGAATAAAGTGAGGACCTAATTAGAAATGCTGTACTCTGCTGTTCTCCTTTCATATTAGGTGAGTTCTCGCTATGCTGAATCATGCACATTACTCATTTTTGATTGCAGCAATGATTTCAGCAAAAACAGTTAAAAGTTACGTTTATTAAGGTAAACTTGGTTTTATATTCACACATTCATTCAGAGACATCTTGTGACACACTCTCTATATTGTTTACCATGGCACTTTTAATATTTGGTCTGAAATAACCTGCAAGTGTGACTTGAAACAACATTAACACGGTTTATTTGACTGTGAACAAGGTTGTGGTTTGACAAGTCATTGGCTGCTATCATGATTTCGCTATTTAGAGTTTGCAAATAATACTTTTATGGAATTATATTATTAAGGAGAAAGTCAGAATGTGCGATTATAAAACCAACTTTACCTCTATGTGTAAGTTCACATACCCTGTCGTACAGGTGTAGTTCGCTGTCAGAACACAGTAGTTTTGCTTGTTGATGATTACCCAGGCCTTGTATAACATTAGCTCCATCTTCCATCTCTGTCTTTGGCTAAGCAGAACCTCGGTTTTTAGCTCTACATAGTTTTGAATCTGGTCATCATGGAGCATTATTTCTTGCACATGACCACACAGAACAAAATTGTTGGCATCTAAAGACTTGTGGGCCTTTAACTTCTCTCTTGTAAAATCACTTGGAGCTTTAATGAGTTTGTATATTTGGGGTTGAATGCTTGATCATTTCATCTTATCCAATATCCATTGGGAGGGTGCTATCGCAAATGGACCTGTCAAATGAACGCCGCTCACTTTAACGTTAATTTTGCAGAATGACTGTGCTTATCACTGGGTGACAAGCTGGTATAATACGCTGAAAGCATTATGTAAATAATATATATCATATGTAATCAATATAAATTATTTCAAAGACAACAACAAACTATGTACCGCATCGAATGTCATTCCCTCGCTGTAAATGCTAGCGCTCCCGGTTTTTTCTGCCACCTCGCTCCGCGCGCATCTTGAATGTTTACAAACCGCAAATTTTGTCTATTTAGTTTCTTTTTCAAAAAGGTGATATAAATATGTTTATACAACAGCTTTGTCTGGTTCTTGGCTGATAGTCTTGCGATATTCTGCAAATGACACCACTCGTCCATCCTCAACCCAACTCCGCCCACAGCAACAAGCAGAGGAGACTCTACAGTTTGACAAATATTACTGCTATTGGACAACATAATGCACTTTTGAGGCTTTTTAGGCAAGAAAGTCATTGTTTAGATTGCAACTATGCAGTTTATTTAAAAGGACAGAGGCTATTTTT